ATTATAAAGATCATATATGATGTTTTTTTTACATTAGAGGGTTCGTTAAGAGGATCAGTCTGATCTGCTGACTGTACGCTACCTCTCATGATCATATGAAGAACATCAGAGAAATCTGGACAGACGTCTGTGTCCTTTCAGCAACACTGACCTCTGACGCTTCCAGCTCCTCCTGTGATGTTCTCCGAAACATCAGCTTCATTAGCATGATATTGATGAATAAAACATTAGAACTGGTCATAATGTCAATAACGACTTTGATTTGGGATTTATCATTTTGAAGATGTGAGAAACTGGTGGAGTTATTGTACTCAAAGTAAGTGGCCACATTGTGAAATGTTGGATTGTGGCAGAAAGAAACGAGATGTTCACTGATGGACTAGAGTGTTTTTATCAGCTGTTTGGACTGTCATTCTGACGGCACCCATTCACTGCAGAGGATCCATTGGTGAGCAAGTGATGCAATGCTACATTTCTACAAATCTGATGAAGAAACAAGCATATCTATGTCTTGGATGGCTTGAGGGTGAGTGCATTTTCAGCTCATTTTCATTTTTGGGGGAGCTATTCCTTTAAATTAGCTAAGAAAATAAATTAATGCCAAAGTACTGTTGAATAAATCCCACAATAAATATATGAATAAATACAACACCCCATCCCCCCAATAGTTGTGTGTTGTAATATTTACAACAACAAAAAAATGCAATTTTGAATTGAACAAGTATGTTTTCTAGTAGGATAATAGACATAAAATAGAGGGTCAGGATATGAAAAATTAACTTATTTATTCATTTACAATCATGTTCTGTTAAGATTATCTAAGAATATTAATTTAATGCTAAAGTATTGTTAAAAAAACTCAATTTGACTAAAAATTCATTATTTTACCCCAATATTTGCGTGTGTTTTGTATTTTTACCAATGTATATGGCCACTCATTTTAAAATTAAAATGTTTTTTGTTTTGTTTATTTATTTTATTTATTTTTTTACAAAGAAACTGATTTGTTCAGACCACAATCTTACTGGGATACTTGTTTCAATGCTTTTCCTGTCTTTTTCTATTTCCTGAGCTCAAGGTTAATGTAGTTACTGCACTTCTTTTATGAGGTGAAATAGTGAACAGATATTAAACCGAGGCAGACAGAGGCTTTTGGCTCAGCGTGAGCATACAGACTCAAACTGCTGTCGAAGAGCTGTCAGGAACACATCACAAAGAGGTTCTGACCCAGATCTGCTTACCCAAACCTCATCTGCCTAACAGACAGGCACACGTGGAATACCTGCACAACTCCATTCTAAAGCAATCGTTCACCCAAATAAAGTCCGAATGCTTCGGAATGACTTGAACTATGTAGCATTTTTGAGTGAATCTGTTTTTCTGGTGTTTAGCAGAGTTGATTATTAGGTGTTCACAAACACACATATCTGCGAATAATGACCCAAATGATCAGGTTCTACAGTAAAGCCATTTTTACAATCCATCAGGCGTCTGGCGCAGGGTGACTCCAGGGACATTCCCAATCTCTGCCATTGATCCGCTTTAAGTCGCTTAATGGCAAAATAACAATAATCATATAAAATGTATATTGTGTGAAACTTCTGTGACACTTTAACAAGTTCTCATCGGCAGAGTTCAGATTAACGATATTGCAAGCTGATAACTCGTGAAATTGCTGTTACTGATCAATAAACTGATTTATTTTTCACATAGTGGAAAAAACTCATGTGATTATTTGTCAACCAGCTCACTGCTGTCCCCTACAGATCCAAATTGAATCTCAGGTCTGCTTTAAAGGGGGAAAAAATGTGCAAAAAATAATAATTATTATTATGACAATTAGGACTACATGCCCATTTTTATTTTCATTATTATTAATGTTATTTTTTTTAATATTTTTATTATTTTGACTTAATTTATATTTAATGATTTATTATTATTATCATTGTTGTCTGATTATTATTATATTTTTTATATTATATTAATGTAATATATCAATGAATATTTATTATTATTATATCTTTTATTTGCCATTTTTATGTAATTTTTAAATGTTTGCCATTTCATTTAATTTGATTCATTTTAATGATACATTTATTATTATTATTATTAAATATTTTAATTATTATTTTTAGTATTATTATTAGTGTTTATTTCTATTATTTTATTCATTTACTGGTAAATTCAAATTATTTATTATTATTATTATATTTTAATTATCCTTTGTATTGATTTTTTGAACTTTTTGTCATTTCATTTAATTTGATTACATTTAATGATACATTTAATTTGATTTAGTTTAATGATATATTTATTATTATTATTTTCAAATTATTATTATTCTCAAATTATTATTTATTTAATAATTTAGTATTATTATATAATTATAGTGTTTATTTTCATTATTTTATTATTAATTTAATGATATATTCTAAATATTATTATCATCATCATTATCGTGTAATTTTTAACTTTTTGCCATTTCATTGAATTTGATTAAATTGAATGATACATTTATTATTATTATTTATCATTAAATTATTACATATTTTAATAATAATTTTATGTAATTTTTCATTTTTTTTATATTAATGTATTTTATTGTTATTGTAATTTAATATTTTAACTGTTCATTTTATTTAATTGTCTTTATGTTTATTTTATTTTATCTTTCAGTTCTGGTGCTGTGCTGGCTCAACACTTGACTGTTGTGTGTAAAATCTTCATCCTGAAGCCAAACCATTCCAGAATCTCAGCTATAAAAGCAGCTACCTTATTTTTCCAAAACAATAATAAACAACAAAAACATGCCCCCATCCCGGCAAAGGGTCACCTCATTAACTTCATGAAATGATGTTCACATTTCCCAAGCCCTGAGGCCTGAGCAGCAGCAGCAGAAAGACTATCTGTCACTGTGATATCATTTATATGGACATGAAACAGATCCCTCAGACCACATGGATTAATTACAGCCTTCAGCACAATTTCAGACTGTCTGTAATTCTTTCCGACATAATGGAAAGTGTTTATGGAAACATGAATTGTCTTTACCCTCAGCACATACACAGTCAACTGTAATTCACACCTTCCTTCAACACTTTGGGTTACTTTAGACCTGCTGTGAAGAGAGAGAGTCAGAGTGTGAACGTGATCTGACAGTTTGCTGAACATGTCAGTTAAATAAAAAGTGTGGAAAAGAAAGGGCCGGCTCCAGCAAATAGTTTGATTTATTTATTTACAGTTTTTTATTTATATGGAAATTAACTATAATTGAATTAAAATGTTTGTCAAATTAAAAATCCATATTAATATTTATTTCCATTTATTTAATCGAAAGGGAGCGATTTTATATTATGTCGTAATTAAATGAATTATGAATGAACAGAAAATGTAATTCATAAATATACTACAAACGTATTAATACAGGAAAGTAACAAACGGGATCTAATATTATCGATGAACATGCAGCATATGGCCAGAAGATGGCAGTGTGGCAAAGAAATTAAATTGGTAGAGCAGAAACCAACAAAACCGGAGGATACAAAGTGGGAGGGGCATACTGGCTGCAGAGTTGTTTCTGATTGGCGAGATTTTTTATTTTTCATAGTCACGTGGTAAATGGAAGAAGGCCGAAAGACGAATCAGTTGGTTTTTCACTTTTTGCATTGCATCATATGACAAGAAACAGGAGATAATAAACAGTGTTGGGGGTAACGCATTACAAGTAACACAAGTTACGTAATCAGATTACTTTTTTCAAGTAACTAGTAAAGTAACGCATTACTTTTTAATTTACAAGAGAATATCTGAGTTACTTTTTCAAACCTGGTGGGGACTTAAACCTGAATACACACAGACTCATAGGGACTCGTGTCACGGTGGGGACCTAAATTGTGGTCCCCACGGGTAAACAAGCTAATAAATCACACAGAATGAAGTTTTTTGAAAATCTAAAAATGCAGAAAGTCTCCTGTGAGGGGTAGGTTTAGGGGTAGGGTTGGTGTAGGGCAATAGAATATACGGTCTGTACAGTATAAAAACCATTGCGCCTATGGAGAGTCCCCACAAAGATAGCTGACCAGACGTGTGTGTGTGTGTGTGTGTGTGTGTGTGTGTGTGTGTATGTGTATGTGTGTGTACATACACACACACACACACATACATTATTTAAATATAATTATTATATAAAGCCACTATATATAAAGTCACTGTCATCTTATTTATCTTATATATTGTTGTATATAATTATTTGTATTTTATATATGTATATGTTTAAGCATGTTAATGAGTATAAGATTGAAAACTAATTCATGTATAATATTTATAAAATATACGTGTGTGTGTGTATGATATGTATGTTTGTTATTATTTTATATAATTATAAAGACATGTTTATATATTTATATTAACACATTTTGTGACCACATATCATGTTTATTTTTTATGAGTTTTAAATGCAACATTTCATTTTAATATTTTATTTATGTTTTATATATGTAGATGTTTAATTATGTAACAGAATGCACATATATATATATAAACACATTTTATGTTTATTTTTTATTAATTTAATTTTTATATTTGATTTACATTTTATTAGGGATGCACCGATATGAAAATTTTGGCCGATACCGATAACCGATTATTCTTTATTTTTGAAAGCCGATAACCGATATGTTGGCCGATAAATTTATATCCAAATTGTTATATACTTTTTGAGAGCCTGATTACAAAAAAGGTCTCATCATTAAAAGTCACATCCCAAACACTTCAACATAAGCAGCCTAGTTTGAACGGTGTACGTTTTAAAAATATTTTTACTCTCCCATTACCAAATTTAGTCTTTAAGTTGTACTCTGTTAGTGAGTATGATACTTTAAATGCATGTAATCAATTAACATAATATAATCAGATGTTTTGCATGTGCATATATCGTGTTATTATGGTAGCTCTGAATTATTTTTAAATGTTGAGTCATGTTCTCTTTTTACATCACTGCTCTATGTGAAACTAAAGGTCAGAGGTCATGGAGGAGCAGAGCGGGTCACCAGGGGCCAACACGGACAACAGCAGCCAGCGTAACGGAGAGGAGGTGAGCAGATCATGTGATGATCGTTGAGCCTGCGCTGTCTTTGCACAGGTGGAGCATTGTTAATGTGAATGGTGTTTATGACAGAAGCCTCGCAGGAGCAGCTGGACCAAAGCCAGGAGGAGGAAGAAGCCACTGAAGGACAGTAATGCCCCCAAAGCCCCGTTAACAGGATACGTGCGCTTCATGAACGAGCGCCGCGAGCAGCTGAGGGCAGAAAGACCAGACATGCCTTTCCCAGAGATCACCAGGATGCTCGGGAATGAGTGGAGCAAACTGCCTCCGGAAGAGAAACAGGTCAGGATACACATGTGGAAGACATACACTAATGGTCAAACGTTTGGAATAATTAATGGGGGGGTTTTCATGTTTTTGAGTGTTTTATGCTAGCCAAAGCTGCAGTTATTTGTCAAAAATACAGTAAAAACTGTATTATTGTGAAATATTATTACAATTTAAAATAACTGTTTTCTATTGTAATATATTTTAAAAATGTAATTTATTCCTGTGATGCAAAGCTGATTTTTCAGCATCATTACTCCAGTCTTCAGTGTCACATGATCCTTCAGAAATCATTCTAATATTTGCTGCTCAAGAAACATTTCTTAATATCAATGTTGAAAACACTTGTGCTGCTTAATGTTTTTATAATAACCATGATCATTTCTTTTCTTTCTTTTTTCAAAAAATAACGGAATTGATTTGAAATCGAAATCTTTTGTCAAATTAAAAATGTCTTTAATGTCCTTGTTGGTCAATTGAATTTGTCTGAATAAAAATTATTATTTTTTAAAAAATAATTTATTTACCCCAAACTTGAATTGGTAGTCTGTCACCATTTCCGCAAAGCACAGCTAAAATTGTTTTCAACATTGATAATGTTTCTTGAGCAGCAAATCAGCATATTAGAATGATTTCTGAAGGATCGTGTGACACTGAAGACTGGAGTAATGATGCTGAAAATTCAGCTTTGATCACAGGAATAAATTACATTTTAAAATATATTCAAATAGAAAGCAGTTCTTTTACATTGCAATGATTTTTCACAATTTTTTTACTGTATTTTTGATCAAATAAATGAAGACCTGGTGAGCAGAAGAGACTTTTTTCAAAAACATCAAAATATCTACACTGCCAGTGTATAAGGTTTAAAAATAAAGTTTAAAATCTCTATAGAGATTAACATCACTCTCTGTCTCAGCGGTATCTGGATGAAGCAGACAAAGATAAGGAGCGCTACATGAGAGAACTGGAGCAGTATCAGAAGACTGAAGCCTATAAACACTTCAGCAGGAAGGTGCAAGAGAAACAAAAAGGAAAGAGACACAGAGGAGGTGCGAACACATGCAATCTAAGGCACAGTCCAAAATAACTATTGGCAGGTGAATTTAGACAAAGCTGTAGAAAAGAGTGGCAGTCACAGGCAATCAGAACACATTTGATGGTTACTATAAAGCAATGCGGAGCAGGATTTTGGACCAGTGAGGTTTCACAGAGGGTGCTGCTACACAGTAAAGCAAACATAGAAATGAAGAGACTGACAAAATGTGCAGCATCACAAATCACTTGTCTCATCTAAAATTCCTCTCTCGCACTCTTTATCAGATGCTGGAAGGCAGGCGCCTGGTGAATCGCTTCATGAGGTAAAATATCAATGCCGAGGCCCACACAGAATCTGCGCTTTATTTTCAGGTCATAGAAAACCTGGAATTAACAGATCATTTTTTCAAGTCTGGAAATGTTATGGAAAAATGAAAATAAAGACTTGTGAATGAAAATAATGAAAAATGAAACTAAAGAGTTAAAATCTTAAATCTTTAGGCTACGTCCACACGAAGCCAGAGCTTTCCCTATCCGATCTTTTTTTCCCCTCGTCTCAAGACCGACACAAAACGATGTAGTATACAGGCCAGACCAGTATGTGGCGCTGTAATTCTGCCACAGAGATACACTAGAAACGGAGAAGAAGACTTGGACTATGCATAAACCTTCCGCGCGGTATACAAACGAGCATGGAACAATACATTTATTAATCTGTGTTAATGTTAGTTAATAAAAAGACAATGGTTCAGTGTTTGTTCATGTTTTTGTTGCTGTTACGTGACGTAGCGGTGTCTGACTAGGGGCGAGACGTGGGCTGATGACGTCATCGTTTCAGAAAATAAAAGGATTCGCTGTCCACACGAAAACGCAAGGGCGGCGTTTTCAGATTTATCCACTCTGGGACCCGGTTTCAGAAAATATCGGTTTCACTCTCCCAAAACTAGGGATGGGCGATACCCCTTATTTTGTTTTCGATACGATACCGGTATTTTTCAAGGTAGTATCGTCGATATCGATACCGATTCGATACTTCTGCACTAAACTTTTAAATTATGAAATGTATTAAATTATTAAGAGTGAAATGGGTAGTGAAAAGCACTTAACTTTGTTTAAAACGCATTTTAACCCGTTTAATCCCAAAGTTTTCCCAGACATGAAAATATCCAAATGATGCGTCATTAGTAACCCTTTGAAATAATACATTTTCCTCTTTTTTTTTATTTTATTTTTTTTTTTTGAAAAGTGTGTGAAAATTTTTATTTTATGGTCAGTCACAAATGTAACCGGTGGGATAATGTGCATACTGAATTAACATATTTCTGCAGTCATAAAAATTGTTATATATCTTAGCCCAGCTATTTTAAACTGTTTGATCACATTCTAGGGTTACTATTATGCATAAAAACCCCTTATACAACATTGATAGGAGTACTGAGATCAAATACAAAAAAACACAACCATCAACGTATTTCAAAATTGTTACTTTTTTGTAACATATATCATCACATTTTTATATTAGTGCTACCAGTATTACAACATTAATATTCTTTGTAACATTTGAACTTTTGATTTAGTGCAATATTTTGTACTGTCATTAGGGACTGCCAGTGAATGGCTGTTGCATGCATGAAATGCAACCTTTTTGTTCTGACAGTGTATGATTTATATTAACATTACAGAATAGAACATGATCATATGAGTGTCACAGCATTACATACATTAATGAGGGAAAAAAATTAACTTAAATTATTTTAGCAAATGGCTGCAATATAACAAAGAGTGAAAAATTTAAGGGGGTCTGAATACTTTCCGTACCCACTGTATATCGGTTCTGTTTCTTATCCTAAACTTTATCTGTTTAGGTAAAAAAAGATGTTTATTATTATTATTATTATTGTTGTTAAATAAACAAAACCTCTGGTAAATAAAGCTCACATTAGTATCTATATTTTTTTTTGAGTATCGATATATCGATACTTCGGATCGATACGCCCATCCCTACCCAAAACGCCGGATCCGTGTGGACGAAGCACCTAAACGATACAACATTTATGCGTATACAACTAAACACGTCTCCGTGTGGACGGGGCCTTAGTCGACATCGGGTTTTATATTTTAGATGTTTTTATATTATTCTGAAATATTTAATTTGCCATTTTTGTACAACGATTGTTATTAAATTATATAATAATCACATAAGACCGGAAAAGTAATGTCAATTAATATAATCTTAAACTTTCATGGAAAAGTCGTGGCAAACTATTTGTAATATCATGAATTTTTGTCATTTTTATTTATTAAAAAAATGTATTACTAAATAATAAAAAATACTTTGAAATTATTTAATTAAATTTTTATAAAGGGATTTTTAATTAAACGTTTAAGTACTCATAAACTTATGGAATGTGACTAGAAAAGTCACAGAAATTAATCAAATCTTAAAGTCATAGAAAATTGGAATAGAACTATTTTTATTTTTCGGAAATATTTAATTAGCTATGATTTTATTCATTTGAAATTATTTTAATATCAAACTACTGAAAAACTTTGGAAAGTCATGGAAAACTCAAATATAGTAAATATTGCTATTAAATATTATCATATGTTTATGAAATTATCCACAAAATTAGTAAAAATAATGAAAATGTAAAAAAAATCTTAAATAGTCATGGAAAGCTCATGACTATTTAATTTAATGTTTTTATTTCTATTTATTTATTATATTTAATAGGTTACGCTCCTTATAAAATTATCGAAATTTCAATTTGTGTTAAATAATGTTGAGGTTACTACTGTTATTGGTAGCTGGGATATGATCAATTTAGCCAAAATATTTAACAAACAATCTTGCTAGTGGCAGAGGAAGTGTGGAACATTGTAATTGTGAGCGGGTCTATCTATGACTAATCTATGGCAGTTTGAGCAATGATTTCATTCTGTCCTCAAAGTAAATGAAGTCTGAACAGCTTTCCGTCTGTCTCTCAGAAGGATCTGGAGATAAAGGATCGCTCCGTGTTTGATATTCCCATCTTCACTGAAGAGTTTCTGAATCACAGTAAAGGTGAGAGCGGGGTGCTGCTGAATGTGTGAGTCTGTGTGTAATGGTGTGATGCACGTTCGTTGATTGTGTGTTTTGTAGCGCGTGAGGCTGAACTGCGGCAGCTGAGAAAGACCAATATGGAGTATGAGGAGCGTAACGCGGCGCTGCAGAAGCATGTGGAGAGCATGCGCTCGGCCGTGGAGCGTCTGGAAGGAGACGTGCAGCAGGAACGTACACGAAACGGCCTCCTGCTGCAGCACCTGGACACCCTGCGCTCGGCCCTCACACACAGCTTCTCTACCGTCCCCCTGCCCGGTGAGACGCACACACACACACACACACTCACACTCACACTCGCAGAGTTCACTGAGAAAACCTTAGCCAGCTGGGTTCATTTGAGCAGTCTGATTCACTTTAGAGAGTTCATTTTTGTTTGAATTGGTTCAGTGATTCAGTTCATTTGAGTCATGATTCACTTGTGTAAGAGAAATACTCGATTCCTATATAAAATCTATATAAATATTACATTTCACTTTTATCGTGATGTAATAGAATATATATATATATATATATATATATATATATATATATATATATATATATATATACAGGCTTGTGGGAATACTATCAGGATTACATTTGTTTCATTTAAAATGAAAAGTTTTTTTTGACATAATAACGCAATATTTAGCACTGCTTCATCGTACAGTAGTTCCTGGTTCTGTTGACACATGTTGACTCACGCAAATAACACCCATCTACAATTATTCTCCTCAAACTCGGGATGAGACCATGCTTCCTGCTGGGAAAAACGTTTTCATGTCTGGAAATTTCACAGTTATTTTGTCTTCAAAAAGGATAAAGGAAATAACATAGTTGTACAGTGTAAGCCATGCATGAAGACTCTTGCTTTAACAAAGGCTACTCAACCAACTTGAACATTTGCAGGTACGACTTGCATGAAAATCATCATGTTAGTTCAAATGTAGTGTTTGTTAGTGATTTAGAATTCCATGGTGTGCATGACTGCAGTAAATGAGCTGGAAAATGTAGAAATTAACACGAGAGTCCCCACACTCCGGATCAGTCAATGAAATAAAGAAAGTTCATAGCATTTCACGTATACATTTCGACATGTAGGCTTATTTTAAAATAGACTAATATGTATATGGGGTAAATTTTTAATGTTGTGTATAAACTATATTTATTTTTACTTGTAGGCTACATGTTAAAGAAAAAAAAACTAATAGGCTACTAAAATGTATAGCCACTAGATGTCTGCATAGCCTTTTATATAAATATAAAAGGGCTGTAATATCTAGATGGTGAAACAAGACACGATTTTAAATAGTTTCAAATAGTTTTTATTAGTTTTAATTTTAAAGTCATAGTTAAATAAAAGTACTTAGATATTGCTTTTTTGATTTTATTTACATAAAAGGAATCCAAAAGGAATCAGATTACATTACTTTCATGTTGTAGTACTTGGATTACGTTACTGAATACTTTTTTGATGAAGTAATTTGTAGCTGTAATGGAATACATTTTTAAAATAACCCTCCCAACCCTATATGTGTGTGTGTGTTCCCAATATTAATTAATATTAGAAAATGTACATTATTTTATAAATATTATATCAAATTATATATTATACCTGTATATTGTTGCTCTTTTGTTAGTTTTGACTGCTTTTATTGTCCTCATTTGTAAGTCGCTTTGGATAAAAGCGTCTGCTAAATGACTAAATGTAAATATATTAATTTTGTTTGAATCAGTTCAGTGATTGTTCATTTGAGCCATGACTTAATTGTTCCTAAATTCTGTAAAACTCAAGAAAAATTTTAATCAGTACTACCTTTGCAATATTTAGATAAATATTGCATCACGATCCTTGTTGTGCTTATTCATTTTATTAATTAATATATTTCATATTTTATAGATAGATTAAATATATTAATAGTATTATGTATATAATTTTTTTTATATATACTGTTCAAAAGTTTGGGGTTGGTAAGATTATTTTTAATGGGTTTTTTTTGTTTTTTGTTTTTTTTTGTCATGTGATCTTTCAGAAATTATTCTTTTATCAATATGATTTGCTGCTCAAAGATTTTATGACATTTTATAATATTTATTATTATTAATGTTGAAAACAGTTGTGCTGCTGTTTCATATTTTTGTGGAAACCATGATGCATTTTTCCAGGATTTTTTGATGAATGGAAAGTTCAAAAGAGCAGCATTTATTTAAAATGAATCTTTTGTAACATTATAAATGTCTGTACTGTCACATTTGAACAATATATATCTTTGCTGAATAACAATACAAATATATATTCAAAATTAAGTTTAAAAATATATATGATAAATAAAATGCATTTTCAACTAAATATTTTCGGTTAAAAAAATCAGTCAAAAATTATTTTGCTTATGGTTCTGTCATATAACTTGCTTTGTTATATTCCCAAACAAGCTCCTGAATTGTATTTGTGTGATCTATACAATCTTTGTGAAACAGACTAGAAGGAGGTTTCATCTGTGAATCAGATGTAATGATAAAATCCTTAGTAACAGAAATAGAAATTCAAATAGAAAGTGCTATACAATGGCAATAAAAGCTCTCTGTTTCTATTTCTAAGAAGGATGTTTCATCTATGAATCAGATGTTACTATTATGTGAAAGATACCCGGTGTACTTTTCCTGACTGTCTTTCCCATGTGCCTGCAGGCAGCGGTGAGACGCCCACACTCGATTCCATCGACTCCTACATGAAGAAGCTTCACAGCCTCATTCTGTCCAACCCACAGGAGAACCAGCACCTGATCAGCACCATCAGGGATGTGGTCAACCGCCTCGACAGGTAGCTGCAACCACACTATTCCTGCTTTCTGTGTGAATAATAACCAGAGTGTGATAATGCACTGCTCTGATTCGCCCACAGGTAATTGAGAGGCCCCACCCCTCGTGCAGTAGCCCCTCCTCCTGTCCTGCTATGACCACATTTTGTGTCAAGCAATTATTCAATTGTTTCCTGTTATTTATTTTTTTACAATGCCGTTTTTATCTGCTTATTTTTATTTTTTATTTAGCAGTTTCCATTTGCCATGCGTTCCTGCCACTTTATAAAATGTACACAAGAAAAACCAAAAACATTATTTTAGCAATGGTGTGGTTTCATCTGCATGTGTACATGTTGTTTTGTTTTTAAGCTCAATTTTATACTTGTAATTTCTTTCATGTTACGTAAGAAAGTGAAATGTTGTATTGGCGAGAAGAGAGGCAGGTTCATCTGTAGCTTGTGTCTTTGTGCCGGAGTTTCTGAATTCCCTGTGTGTTCTTGACTTTTGAAGAATTCAATAAAGCTAATGTATGAAGACATTGATGAGTGTCTGATTCTCTCTCTCTCCTTCAGCTCGTTTGCTTGATGCTTGCTGGTAATTAATTCGATTTTGTTCCTTCTGGGACGGAGCGCTTGAGACAGCAGTGTTATAGTTTGCTGAACTGCACACACTCTGGAAGGCTGGTGCTGAACAGCTGTAACCCAGTTGTGCTTGTGTGTGAATTAATTACAGAAAATATGAATAAAACGGATGTCTGGGGTGAGATACGGTGACTCTGGTGTTTTTATTTAATGCAAGAGTGCTGTTTAAAGTAGTTTACATTTTGAAACAGATTGTTTCAAAGCAGACTCAGTTAATGAACAGGAAAATAATATTGATCAATATAATTGATGACGTGAACTTTAAATATGAAACCATTTTAAATTCTGCTGGAAAACAGCTGCAAAAAGCTGTATAGTGCCATTTATTCAGCTCAATTCGGTTTAGAATGGAAGCTTGTTTCTGCCACGGGATAAAAAATGTAAAAATTGCTAATTTTATCTTACAATTCCAATTTTTTCTCGTAATTCTGAGAAAAAAAGTCAGAATTGCTAGATATAAATTCACAATTGACTTTTTAACAAGTTTACTTTTTGTCATTTTTACTTTAGTCTTAAAAATCTTAGTAATTTCACAGTTGTTTTTTTCTCCATCACAGAATGCAAAAAAAAAAAAGCAATTGCAACTTTTTATCACACAATTCCGACTTTTCTTCTCAGAATTGTGTGTCAACATCTCGCAACTCTAGGAAGAATTCACAATTTTGAGATTGGCTACAGTTGCATTGGCAATTCTGGGACCTGTGTAATTTCCTATTTGTTGTCACGTCCATTTCCTGTCAGACAGCAGGACTTCCTGTCATCCGTCAGGAATGGAGTGTAAGGCATCCATTGCACAAGAAGTTCAGATTAACTAACTTCCTTTTAAACCTTGTGTCCTTTACTGTCTAAAATTAAAAGTTAAAGGGATAGTTCATTCATTCAAAAAAAAAATTTAATTTAAAATTGTCAGCATTTACTCAACCTCATGTTGTTCAGAATTCTTATGTAGAACAAAAAAATGTTTCATGTCTGATTTGTGAACAGGTGATTCTTTTGAATTGGATCTTGTCGGTGAATCATTTAATCTCAAAACCAGTTTGAATGATTGATTTGTGAATCAGACTCTGGTTCTAAAGTTCAACTTTTACTGACTCAACTAAATTTTCACCAGTGCTATTGTATATTTTCAAAACACTTTGAATATAGTTGTATGGACTACCTTTATAATATTTGATAGTATTTTTGCATCTTTTTTTTTTAAAGCTTGAATGCTCTGGTCCCCATTCATTGAAATTGGAAGGGGGAAAAAATCTCTTTTTGCGTTCCACAGAAGAACCCAGAATTAATCTTGGTTTTGTAACAGCATGACATCGAGCAAACTAAATTGCCATTTTTGGTAAACTTTTCCTTTAAACTCTCATGTTTATGAACCATGGAATCGTTACTCTTTCTTTCTCTTTCGCCCAAAGCGAAAAGTGACGGCTGATCTTAGGCCTTCTGTTTGAGCTCAGAGATCCAGCTGAATGCAAGAACTCATAATCATATCATAAAATGAGACTCCCTTTGCCTTTAAGATGTTTTTCATTTCTTCAAATGAGAGAAACAACAGATTAAAGAGAATAGGGGAGGAGAGAAGAAAGGAGGAGAGGAGAGGGGATCCATCAGAGTTAGAATGTGGCATGTGTGAGTCATGAGATGTGGAGCTCATTTCCTGTCTCTTATACTGAACATCCACCCTGAACCCACAGACAATGGAGTCACACAAACCAATAACCCACACACAATGAGCTCAGCAACACTTTCTCTGAATCAGCTTTGTCCTGTCATGGGGGAATAGGATTTTCCTGCGTTTCTGGACTGATGACGGTCTACTTCTGTCATTCTCATTCTTCAATATTCTGCTATAAATGTGGTTTTGGGGGAAAAAAATACTTCTCAAATTGCGTCGAGATATTTCACGAAGAGCTACGGTCAGATATGTATTAGATTAATATTGGAGTGATGGTTTATGCATGAGTTTCAGCTGACGCAAAAGAAAAATAGCTATAGGCTTTGAGGAATAATTGATGCCTTTCTTTCCTCTGTGGAACACAAAAGAAGAACGTTAGGCAGAATGTTCACACTCCTCTTTTTTACAACAATGAAAAGCATATAGCAGCCAGCGGCTGTCAAGCTGCATAATGGTCAAATAAGCGGCATAAAAATAGTAAAAACAGTATGGAATGGTTTCGAATTTAGCAGCATTAGTTCACCAGTTCTCAACCCAAAATGCAGTGAGATTACTGAAGTTTCTAAAATAAGGATATGTTGAATGGTTTCATCAGAAGGTTCCCATTAAATGTGCTTTCTTATGTTATCTGTAGACATTAGCTTGAAAACAACCCTTAATACACCTCCCAAATTCATAATACACCTCCCCAAAAGATCCATTTTCAAACTGTTTAGATTTCGCTGAATTTTCACTAATTTTTATGAGTCTCTAGGGGGATTTGGGGACTCAAAAATACATTGGCATGTCATTGGCACTGCCACTTCATAAGCATGTGCACTTCATTAAGGGTTTGTAGCTGCATATGGTTTTACAGTCATGTTGTACTGTTCTCTGTCTTCAAGTATTTACTTATTGTTTTATCATTTGCAGTAGTGCAAAACTATTGAATGCTTCAGGGATGATGTATTTTTCGAAGGCCAAAACCCAAATGAGTTAGCATTTCTAGTTCCATCTTCCTTAAGTCACTGGGTTTTATGAATGGGTTTTTGCAAGAAATATGGTCTGTGGAGAACACAAGCTCAAAATATTCTCATGTTTTATACTACAACATAAATACACCCCCTTGTGATTTTTTGAAAGGTTTTACTTTCTGGAAAAAAGGCAGTTGCTACGAATTGCTAAATACAGAGGTTGTCAGGCTTGTTAAAAGTCATCACACCAAAAAGGTTAACTCATCTACTCACTAGTCTACATTTACAGCCTCATTGTGTTGATAATTATGCTCTTGTGAACTTTGATTACTCAAATGCTTTTAAATCAAGACAGAAAGAGTTGTTGGAAGCTTAAAGGGTTAAAGGGGTCATATGTTGTTGCTAAAAAGAACATTATTTTGTGTATTTGGTGTAATGAAATGTGTTTATGTGGTTTAAGGTTCAAAAAACACATTATTTTCCACATACTGTACATTATTACACGCCTTTCTGAAATGCGTCGATTTTTACAAAGCTCATCAGTCTGAAAAGCGAGGTGTGGTGTGATTGGCCAGCTATCCAGTGCATTGTGATTGGCAGAATACCTCAAGCGTGTGACGGAAATGTTACGCCCCTTACCATGCTCTGATGATGCCCTGTCAGGCCGGAGCGACGAGACAAAAACATTAAAACTCATTATAAACGAGGCATTTGTTGCATCCAGTGGGGACATTATTACGGATTATAATGACTTATATTGTCTTTTTACAGTACATAAAACCATGTCTGCATTTGTGATCGGAGAAATGACTAGTTTCGCTTTCACAACGAAACACACAGCGTTACACACGGCGGGCTAGAGTGAGTGGCGGCCAGCGGGTTTGAGTGAGGAACGGCCGGCGGGCTTGAGAACGGCGCGGCCGGCAGATTCGACGAAGGAGCAGAACAACATATTGCTTGCTGCAACCACATGTGATGACCCCGGGCTGGACTCCGCGTCCACGGTGAAAGCCAATCCAGCGATCCACAGCGAGAAGTTGATGTATTTCCTCAGCGACCAGCACGGATCAGCTCCAGGCATGACGAAGCAGATATTGTCCTCTTTTGGAAGACCAAACAAAGTAGTTTCGCTTTCACAACGAAACACATGGCGGCGGCAGCAACAACAATACTACAGCGAGAATAAAAATTACGCCTTCTCTCTTTGCGTGAACATTTGGGCGGCGTTATGCAAATCTTCCCACATTGTGACGTAGACATGTGGGGGTGTGTTAGAACGAGCCGTTTTAGGTAGGCGTGGTTGACTCTTAACTTTTATAAAGAATATCTCTTTGGATTTGAGACTTTAGTCTTTGCAACTTTACAGATCTTCTTTATGCACCAAGAGCTTGTAACACTCCAAAGAGAAACGAAAAATTTCAATCGCATCATATGACCCCTTTAATGACAGAATTTTCCTTTTTGGGTGATTGATGATGGTGACACTAAAATTGATGTGGTGTAGTTTGTTCATAGCCTATGTTTAGCTTTTTACTTTTAGTTGTGTTCATTTGTAAAGAATGTACAGTTAATTTGAAAGAATTATAAACTTTTTGTTGGTTACATTCACAAAAGAAAATGTAAATGTAAAAAGAAATGTACAGCTTAATGGATCACTTATACATATTCATTTGTAAATGATGTTCATAGTTTCTGCTTATAGTGTACATACACTTATTACATAATCCATCTGTATAGTATGTTCATAGTACACCTATCGGTATATCATGCTGATAGTATTTAAAAATCTGTAAATTATGTCCATAGTACTGCCTTATCTGTATATTTATTGTACATTTGTAATATATTGTAGACACTGTATATCCACTGCTTATTGCACTTCTGGTTAGATGATAACTGCATTTCGTTGCCTCATACCTTACATGTGCAATAACAATAAAGTTGAATCTAATCTAATCTAATCTAAATTAAAAATTTACTATATATGTATATACTGTACAAATTAAGAGGTTGGTCCTGCTTAGTGGCCCCTGAGTGTCACGATCTCTAGCTGGAGTGCCCGTGAGCTTCGCTAGAGGGCACTCCATTCCAGACTCTTGCCACTTCACCCCGGACTCCATTTCCCATCATCTTTTTGACTAATTTTCTCTGGCAAACCTGAGTAACGTTAGATCTGACGCCGGTTCTGGAGAATTCCTCAGTGTTTCTGTCAGGATGCTGTTGTGTGTGATCAGCTCTCATATCAGCGTTCACTTCAGTAAATGTAAAGAAAATATA